TTATTTATTATCTTAAATCGTTACTGTTGTTGTTTGTTGTTGTTGTTTTGTTTGGTTTGCTGTTGTTGTTATTTTTAATGCTTTTAATGCTATTTGGTTGTTGTTGTTGTTATTATTATTATTGTCATTCACGTCAGTTTAGATTTATTCTTCAAAATAATTGCGGAACTGTATTGATTGGCGTTAAATCGTTACAAACATTAATAAACACACACACTCACACATATTCACCATACATCACACATATATACGCTTTCACTCATAGTATACAAACACACATACCACTTCCTCGTATACACATTCTCTTACTCGCCTTAATGCACACACACACACACACACACACACACACACACACATACAAATTCACCCTCTCATATACACTCACAGATACACATACACACACGCACACGCTATTTGACATCAGCCCTGACTGACAAATACAATTTTATTTTTGCGTTGGTGCAAACAATTGTTGTTTTGCATAATGTAATGTGTATGTATTTGTGTGTGTGTGCGTGTGTGTGCGTGCGTGTGTGTGCGTGCGTGTGTGTGTGTGTGCGTGTGTGTGTATCGAGGAGTTTAAGTAGGTTATATATAGAATGGAAACATTGAAACGTAATTAACCGCCGTCAGTTCATTAGTTTTTTTTCCATATAGTTCCATTTGTTTTCAGATATGTTTTCTTAGTATCGTTGGATATATTCATAGTTTTGTATGTATTTTTTCCATTTTGTTTACCTTTGTAAAAAAAATACACAAATATACACACATTTACACATACACACACATACAAACATATATGATTTTAATTTTTTTTTATTTTGCCCCGTTTTTTAAAATTTGTTTTTATCAAACCATTGAGTACATTTTTAAATATTTATCGGCTATTCAATTTTTAAACCAACATAAATTAAAAAATACAAACAATAAACAATTGGTTAGAATAAATTTTTGACCAGAGCATTTTAAAATCTTCCAATCTACAAATTATATCCATGCCAAGTTCATAAACATCGTCAAATTATTTTTCCTATCTAGGAACTATTTTAAAAATAATAAACTGAATGAAATACTCAAAAATTAAAAAAAAAATTATTTTATTTATTTTAAATATGTTGCCTTTAATGCGCCAAAAATATTTTCAATTTTTTTTAAATTTTTTCAACTCAGATTTATTTTTTCAGGTTTTTTGAAATTATATTTCTAAGAGTTACATATTATTATACAAAATATTATATTTGAAACACATTATGTAAGCATGGAAGGTTATGTTTGCAGGTATTTTAAGAGAAAATAAAAGTTCGTTTCGTTTCGTCTCGTCTCGTTTCGTTACGTAGTAGAGCATCCCATGTTGAAAATCGTGCAAGTATGACGACAAATCATCATTTCAACATGATTTTCAACATGATGATCAAAATCATCATGTTGAAATTTATAGCAGCTTTTAGTAGGAGTCATTTGAAACAATAAGACGAGACGACAGGCATTGTTCGCGTTTCACTTTGAAATTTGAAATGCCTACCAGGTTGTCAAGGGGAATTAACTTAATGATTTTTTCATAAATTTTATTCTGGAAGGTAACTTTTGTTTAAAATTTATAGACAAATCATTTCATTAAACACAACAACTAATGATATTAATTTTTACGAAACAAAATATTTTATTCAATAGAAAAAGTATTAACCTAAGTATTTACGACGTTAACAAACAGTCAATAAAGAAACATCCTTAATGATGACTAACAATCGATCGAATAAATCAACAAGCGAATAAGTGACAACGACGACAACATCAACTACAACATCAACAACAGCAGCAACAACAACAACAACATGAAAATCAATATTCGTTATATAACACTCACATTCTTATGCTAAAAGTGATTACGTTAAAGTTTCATAAAGTTTCAAACCAATTCTGATGACTGCAACAACTGCAGTAGTTGTCGAAGTAGTAGTACTAGTAGTACAATACTAGTATTAGTAGCAACTACAACAGTAGTAGTAGCGGCAGTAGTAGTATTTTTAGTAGTAGTACAGTACTAGTATTAGTATCAGCAGTTGTAGTATTAGTAGTAGCAGCAACAAGAAACAGCTTTAACAGCAGCAGTTGTAGTAGTATTAATAGCGGCAGAAACAGTAGTTGTAGCAGTAGTAGTAACAGCAGCAGTAGTAGTAGTAGCAGTAGTGATAAAATCATAGTGAACAGATGTTCATTACTGGTAAGTAAGCAGCGTATGATCGACTCACATTTTCATGCTTACAACAGTAACAACATCAACAGTAACAACATCAACAGCAACAACAACAGCAGTCAAATTGATTAATTTTGTACTCGACGACTCGGCGTTCGATCATTTTATAGTTCAGCAACACATTCATCAATTCATTTCTCTTCGGTTTTTTCCATCATATTCGTCTTCTTCTGCAGTAAGTTTTCTGACACTTTCATTGCCTACTAAGACAAAGTTTTTAAAAAACACAAATATTTGATCGCAAACGATGGATTAGTGCTTTAAAAGCGTCTTTTGGAGATGGTTTTTTTTTAATTAAAATTTCGTTTGAGATTGCGAAACATTTAACGATTTTTTTCTGCAGGTGCCATGCAGTCTTGAAAGCGTTCAGGCGCAGAACCTATTCAATGCATTAATCTAATGTTACATGCCACGCCGAATTTATGAACGAGGCGTCCATGGTTCAAACGCACTCACCTGCTATTGGCATAAATTGTAGGCATGTCGTTAATCATCAATAATGAAACGTTTCAAATAAAAAAAATTTAGACGCATTTATGTTATGGATTTTTGGGATTTATAATTTTCGGCGCATTATATACTATCGTACTACCACGTTTTCGCTACTACTATATCTATTCGTACAACAAATTTTAAATCTTCTATATGTAAGAAGCACTGTATGAGAATGCAATCAATGAAAGAATTCATTCTTGGAGTTGGTGGTTATAAGTTATATAGTTGGTGGTTATAGTGTCTTCTTAATAGAAAAATTCATAAAAGCATGAAAACTACTCAACCAGTTTAAAAAAAATTATTTTATTTATTGACTGCCTTATTGAGATTTTTATTTTCTCTTCCATCTTGTCAGATGCTTTTAATGTAGAAGTACACGTGGCTATTTTGAAATTTATTCATTTTCTATGTTTCTTCTTTTTCATTTTCAACTAACTTCTCTGATTGTACCAGATGCATATATCAAAACCTTATCCTTAATTGAAAAATTTTTATTTCACAAGCATAATTCTAAATGAAAATTCACATTTTAGTCACTGGAGTGCGCCCACAATTAAAATTTCCACTGCAGTTTGCTAGGATTGCATGCAATTAATTAATCACTGGGCAGTGGCGTAGCAAGGATCTTTTGTACTGGCGTAAATTTTTTCTCATCACTCAATTTAAAATTTTTTGTCATTAAAAACTAACGGTTTCACGCTTAGTTTTACTGTTGTGGGGATCGAATAAGTTTTCCGTTCAAATGTTTATAAATTTGTAACAAAATTTTGTTCACTTTAGCCTAAACCGTAGCATAAATTTTCATTGAAGGAGAACTTCCTTACCTCAATTATTTTAACTTTCAATTTAATAATTATTTCATCTCTTACAAATATTTTAATCTTTAAAATTTATTAAACGATTTAAATTTAAAATAAGCTGAATAATGAATTTTTCATTTTCAAAAAATGTAAAAATGTGTTCAGTACTCATTCGTGCTGCTTTTTAGTAGTCAGTCGCGATGTTTGTAGTTACTTGGATTAGTTTAGTGTTTCTGTTACCGTTGGCATTCGAATAAACGTTCAACAAAGTCTGAGTTTGAAGCAGTTGTGTTCATCTATTGGAAATCTTGAACCTACGGAATAACAATAACTTGATGATCGTTGGAAGCTACAACACTGGTGTTGAAAATATAGGATCTTTGAAGTTATAACATCGGTGTTGGTAGTAACAAAAATTTAATTTAAAGATTGCTACAACAAGGTACAGCAATAAAACACTTGAACTTTGGTGAAAGGTCAACCACACTGACGCATGCACGCACACACGCACGCACACGCACACACACTTTTGCAAATAAACACACACACAAAAAGAACTAAATATAGTACTTGATAAACATACTACATGCTTATATGACGTATTGACCTCATCCAACCAAAAATATTCACATCTTAAGAAACAACATTGCTCTCGGTAGGAACTTCGTTTAGCTTTAACTTATTTTATACAGTATGCGTGGCTTGCATGATTTTACACTGGATATATTTATTTTTCTCTCATGTATATACATATTTTATTTATAATATATGTTTAAACCAGTGGCGTCACTAGGGGGGTGCGGGGGGTGCGGACCGCACCGGGTGACACCCTCACAGGGGGTGACACCAAAATATCACTGTATATGTTTTTATGTCCCTCCATGAAATTATTCTTATCATTAATTCAGCCTAACCCGCCCAGCGCCCAGAAATGTATTATGAATAAAATTTTTTTTCCGACATTTATACCATTCAAATTCGACGTCCGAATTATTAAGCGCCGCGGCCGAGCACATTTAACTTGTTCGTATTTATAAATTTTGCTAAGAATGCTGTATGTCTATGGGGTGTCATGAGAGGGGTGACACCATGAGTTACCGCACCGGGTGACACCAACCCTAGTGACGCCACTGGTTTAAACATTTGCTTATTTGTTTATTCATATGTTTTATCGTTTACAAACATATATATAAATATGAACACGTGTGTTCACATTCATAAAAACGTTTGTACGCACAGTCGCACACTGACATCAGTGGCTGGTCAAGGAAGAACCGTAGCACTTGTATTAAAAGTAGCCAAGGCACTTGATTTTTTCATATTCTAAACCAACTATTTTGGCTATTAAAGTTAATATGAAAGTAGGGCCAACGCGTTTAGCCAACAAATTAATTTCTATTTTTCATACAATTGTTTCTTGAACATAACTTTATCGCAACTTCAAAAAACCGTTTGCCGTGTAAAATATTTATTTCCATCAATATCAAAAATATCTTTCAAAAATATAATAAAATAGTAGAAATAAAGAAGGCAGGCTATAGATATTTATAAATTTGGCGTATCAAGGCGCATATTTTATCTCAACCCTTCATAATAATAAATGAAAAAATACATCAGTATTACAAATAATTTCTATAAGACCCTCATCAACCAAAAAACTCACATGATGAAACTAATAACTCTACATTGCGTTAGATTCAACAATCCTGGCGGTTGCTGTTTGGACGAGCCAGTCAATTTGCTAACTTAATATTAATGTGATGAGTTATCGAGACAGTTTCACAGTTGAAAGTTTATAAAAAGTATTGAAAAAATTTCAAAATGAAAAATTATGTGGAATGAAAATATAATAGGTAAGTTAAAATATAATCTAATTTTATTCGACTAAAAAAATTGAGCACTTCAACTTTTTTCATCTTCGAATGATGGCAGTGATCCATTTGTCATCAGGCTGTTGGCCATTATGTAGTTACGCTTGCTGATGCGTGGATCAGTTTTTGGCATGTTATCGTCTGGTATGGTTTCGTGGAATTTCGAATAATCAACTTTGTACTGGCCGTTCAACTTGGTCCTCGTAAACAACGGAGCCAACTTGAAACCATAGTCAATCTCGCTCGGAAGGTAAGATGTTTTCACCTTGTTTCAAATTCAGCCAAGTAAGTGTTAATTGCAAGAAACGAAGGTGAATTTTTTTACACGACTATATGTTAATTTAATAAACGCTTTTTTAAAATATTTAAAAAACTTGTTGGTTTAAATAAAAGAAAACTGGAATTTTTGTCTCACTTGAACAGTGCTCCCAGTGGCTTCACAACTAGCTTCTAACACGATCAGTATTTCAAACTCCGCGTGACTTATCTGGTCTTGAGTCGCTCCCCAGAACGGACTGCAATCGTCAATCTTGTGGATCACCTAAACAAAGTAGCGGTTTAGTTTCATAAAATTATATTTAAAAAAAAATTGAAAATGCAAATAATTAACTACCACAAAAAATTTAAATTATTTTATTTTTCAGATCATTTTATGATATATATATATATATATATATAGTTTTTTTTAATTTTGATGAATACAAAAGATTTAGATAAAAGGTCCTTATGTGTAAAATTAAAGCATGTTTCCAAAAATATTGAGCACGTGATGATTAATTAGAAAGGAAAAAATTTGTTAAAATGTATAAACGAGAACAATTTTTCATAAATGGTTGAAGAAATTTTGAAAGGTGGTTTTTTGGAGATTATTTAGAAATTATTTCCTGATTCACGTAATTGTTAATTGTCTTATATGCTAGACGCAATTAAATTGACTTTGAAAATGATCCAATAAAAATTTATTTCAAGAACTTTTAAAAGCAATTGAACTGTAAACTTTATCAAATAAAGTCAAAAAAGGAACATCAAGTATTTTTGAAATAGAGTTATCCTCGAAATAGCATTAAATGATGTGACAGTTAATTAAAACAATTCGAAAAAAAAACTTTTGTTCTTACTCTTATTGGCCAAGCCAAATAGTAAAAATCGTCATCAGATTCTGTGCAAAGTTGCATCCTCTTTTGACAAAGTGTTACCTTTCAGAATTAAATTACTTCTATTCACATTGTTTTGGGATATAGATTTTCAACATAAAGATTAAGCGTTAAATAGATTTACTTACGTATTTTCCATTTTCCAGGAAAGTTTTGCGAACAACGACAGCTTTCATTGCGATTCCAATCAGTTGGGAATTTCTCATATCTCCTAACCTAACCAAAGTGATGTATTTTATGGATTCATTGGTAGGCTTTCAAAATTTTAAAAATTAGTTTAAATTATCAGAGATAACACAAAAATATTAATAAAAGTGAAAAAACCATACCTAAATTCTAAATTTAAGGTAGAATCGCCATTTCCTCCCGAGCATATAACTGCCTTCTTACTAAATATAACTGTTTCAGCTCGACGATTAGGTCTGGCTAATTTTGAGAAGATAATTCCCGTGACCAAGCACTGAGTGACTGCTCCAAAGACACTTTGAAGCATCAGCAGCAAAAAACCAAACTCGCACCTGTCGTTGATTGCTCGTGTTCCATATCCGATGGTTTGTTGAGTTTCGATTGAAAATAATAAAGCAGTTTTGAAGGAGTCGACTCCGGCCACGCAACTTACGTTGTTTGCGTCTAGATCACTTATTTCGTGTAATGTCCACCAGCACATAGCAAATACGATCCAACTTGTGACAAATATGAACAAGAAAATGAAAATGTTGTACCTCCATGGCAGTTCCAGAAATGTTGTGAAAATATCATTCAAATATCTTAATGAACGTTTGTGCACATTACTGAACTGAACGTTGCATTCTCCGGATTGCTGGATGAGGCGGAGTTTTTTACTTCTTCCAACACTTCTTCCATATTTAGCCAGGCTTGCATCCCAATTGGAAAGGTAGGTGCTTGTCCGTCGTTTTCGTTGAGCCACATCATACTCGTTCAAGTTCGGACTATTGTTTGATGGTATGGGAAGGCTCTCTCTTCTTGACCATTGTGAAGGGTAACGGACATATTTCGGATTGCAATTTATCTTAATAGGATCCGGATTCTTCCAATAATGCTTTCTTGGTCTTTCTAACGTATTTTCGCTATAACTTGGATATATAGTTATCAGTTCACTGTCGCTTCTGAATCTCTGGTATCTGAATTTATTCACGGCGTCTTCTCTTGCTTCACATGCTACCTGTTTTGGTAAACTTTTGTTTGCTTTGGCTGGCAGTTTGCGCAGAAAGGTAGCTTTTATGTTGTCTCGACACTCCTCGGCTTCGTCAGTATCGTGCGTGCTGCCGACTTCTGCCGTTTCCTCGATATCCGTTATTAATTTGTTGTTGTTCCCGTCGATCTGACTTTCGTTAATTTCTATATGGCAATCGCTACCGCGACTAGCTTTCCTATGAATGACTTTCTCTGTCAGTCTTTCTTCCATTTCTCCGTCAATACCGTTGGGTACAGAGTTCTTTCCGTAATTGATGATCGTGAATTTCTTCTGGGACGACGCTGTTGATCTGCTGCTGAAACGACAATCAGCGTTCCAATCTTTCGTGGCGTGGTTCGTGCGAGGTCCATAGTGGCTGACTCCTGAATGTTTCGAGGAGGATTTAAAAAAAATCAATTCATTGCAATATACGTATAAAATCATATTTTTAATTGGAATTGGTATTTGAAACTTTTAAAAAACAACTTACCGTTCTGTTTTGGTCTTAAGAGATGACTAAATGTTTCCATTAACTTTGCAATAAAATAATTTCAACTATTCGAAAATAAATATTAATTCGTTAATTTGGAAATCATAATTTTAAAGGGAAACACCCTTTCATTTTTATGTTCATTTATTGACATCTATAAAGATTTAAATATATTTTTTCAGGAGAGATCTATTAGAAGCGTGCACATACTTTCAAAGAGCTGTTTGCCTATTGAACAAATTAATACACAAAATGAAAAAGTTATACTGTCAGTATGTGCTGTTCAGTGCTTAATCTCTTCTTTTATAGGCAGAGATTGATTGAACACCATTGTTGCATTGCATATCTCAGATACAACATAACAAATGTAATTAGCATTAGAATTTGACAGATTGTACGGACAATTTCAAAACAAAGTACTCTAGTGATTCATCATTTTACAATGTAATACATAAATAAATACAAACATTGCTGATGTTTCTCTTCCATTATTTGCTGTGAGGTGCTGGCTAAACTTTGAACTTTCATACGAGTACTAGTTAGAATGTGTATATGGCCTGCATGCACTTATGTGGTGTATATATACACATATTATACGTGTATGTGTTTGTGTGTGCGTGTGTGTGTGTGAGTGTGAAAGAATTATGTGAATATATATATTTATATTATATATACATATGGAATATGAGTAAATATATATACATATAACATGTGCGTGTGTATATGAATGTGGTTGAGTACGTGCAAAAATATGTATATGGTGAAATATAAATGTATATGGTGTGTTTATTTCCTGTTGTATAATTCTGAAATGTATGATGCTATGTCAAAAAGAAAGAAATAAAACAATGGGGTAATATAATATTATATGATTGATTAAAATTCTGAATGTTGGATTGTCTGAAACTTGAACAAGAAATGGTGGTATTTCTTGTAACCGGCTGTTACTGGTCATAAATCAACTTTAACTGACTTCAATAGTTTCATAAAATCAGTACTTGAGTCGTTGCAGACATATTTTATTATGTAACTCTTTTAATAAATTCATAAAAAATTTATCTTTCTCGTGAAATAAGAGTAAAAATCGTTGTTGAAAAGAGCAAAATGGGTGCCTATAATATCAGAGAAATTAGTTAACGACGACTGACTACCATAATTTATCATTTAAAATGATTACTTAATTACTACATCATCGTTATCATCATTGAGTTATAATAGTAATAATTGTTATTTGAATTGTAATTATTATTGTTGCTGTTATTGTTGTTGTTTTTACCAAATATTAAAATTTTGAAAGATATTAAAAAAGATATTATAAAAATATTAAAAGATATTAAGGTTATTTTTTAAACGAATTTCGTAGGATCTTTTTTCGTCCAAAATGCCTGTTTGTATCTGCGATGAATTTTTGTTTTTCATGAACCGATGTTAATGTTGATAAATTTGCATGTCGGTCTGTTAATTCGTTGCTAAAACTCATATGCATAAGCATTGCTGATGAACACGAATCAATGAAATTAATGATTTGCATTACAATCACTGAAGTTATACATAAAATTATAATGCATTAATACTAACTTTTATGTTATGCAGCTGTGAAACATGATGAAAACTATATAACATTTCTACGAACACTAGTATCGCTACTACTACAACTACTACACTAATTCTACTACTACTACTACTACTACTACTACTACTACTACTACTACTACTACTACTACTACTACTACTACTACTAACACTACTACTAACACTACTACTACTACTAACACTACTACTACTACTATTACTACTACTACCGATATTACATTACTACTACTACCACTGCTGTTGCTGCTACTGCTGCTACTACTAATACTACAAATACAACTAATATTAATAAATAATACAGCATTACTACTACTACTTATCCTACTGCAACTCGGGTTAATGCGTGCATGTCCACAGATGAGCATTATGACTCGAAGTTATTAGCGCTTAGTTATTTTTTTGCTCTGGTCTGTTTCAATGATTTGCTTATTTTCATGGGCCTTCCTTCGTACCTGAAGTGTGTGTGTCCGTGTGTCTACTTGTGTGCGTGTGCGTGTGTCTACTTTTGTGCGTGTGTGTACATATACGTGCATGTATATTTCTGTGTGTGCGTGTGTGTCTTAGTGCATTTGCTTGCGTACTAGAGAATATTCGTGTGTCTGTGTATTTCAATTCAATTCAATTCAATACTAGAGAATATTCGTGTTTCTGTGTATTTATCAGTGCATATGTTTGTGTGTGTGTGTGCTTTTTATATGTTTGTGTGTGTGTATGTGTGTGTGTGTATGTGTGTGTAAATGCATTTACCTATAAGTAGAAAAACCGAAATAACCAAAAAAACTTCATATATCACCAAAGATATAACAAATTTGATGCGTGTAAATATGTAAAGGATGAGCAAATACGAGGTGGTGTATGTTTACTGGTTTATGTGCGTGCGTGTGTGTGTGTATGTGTATGTGTGTGTGTGTGTGTGTGTGTGTGTGTGTGTGTGTGTGTGTGTGTGTGTGTGTGTGTGTGTGTGTGTGTGTGTGTGTGTGTGTGTGTGTGTGTTTAGGCATTTAACTATAGAAGCATTCAATTAAAATTTTCAAAGAATTGCAAATAAGAAAATAAATAAAAAAATTAAAAATTAAATAGGAGAGAGAGAGAAAGAGAGAAAGAGAGAAAGAGAGAGAAAGAGAATTAAAAAGAGTAAAAGAAAAAGAGAGAGAGGAGAAAGAGAGAGAGAAAACAGCCACCAGTAAATATTACCCTTTTTTGTGACCATTTGGTCTTCGGTCTTGTTATTTAATCGGCAGTGATCCGAAAAAATTTTATAATTAATTTATCATTGACATCATTGAAACGTCATATATTTTGATCTACAAAATCAACGCTCTGTTCGCAATAGATGATAACTTTTTAACATCAGGTTCAAACCACACATATGTGAAAAAGAATTTTTTTTTTATTTATCTCTTTCAACATTATCAGTGCAGAATTCATTGTTGTATTGCAATTTTCCAAATAGTGTTGCACTTTTGAAACTTGACTATTTGATTTGACTAGTGACACCTTACAGCTTTTTTATACAAACAGTCTGCGATACCGTCTTAACACAAAACTAGGACCTACAAATGTGAATGAACTCCTGGTGAATGTCAAAATCCACGTAGCAGAGCCAGATGGTTTTGCGTCCACAATTAATGAAAATGTTGATAGGGTTAAAGTTAAATTCATGCCACAAAATATTTACCTAAATTTCGACTTTCAAATGTTACTAATAGTAACATTTGTAAAATTTCAGTACGTAAGTTGTAAGAAATAGGTGGCTAATATTTTCTGAAACTTCTTCAGAAAAATATTTGGCTATGCTACTACCGCACATATGAAACGACAAACATCGGTGATTTTGTAACGTAACGTTAGCAACACTAACTGGATGAAAATAAATCAGAAAGATTGGAGATGTAAGAAGGGTTTTGTTGTTGCATTGTTGTTGTAATTGTTACTTTTAGTTCTTCCAATTGTAACATCCGTTGTTGCTGTTGTTTTGTTGTTGTTTGTTCGTCGTCGTTTTGTTCCAATGGTGTAGTAGTAGGCGTGAAATGCGAGTTTGGTGAAAGCTAATGATTTAATGAAAGTGTGTGTGCCTTGTTTGTTTTTAATTTAAATAGATTACGTTACAAATATTGTTTGCACATGTGTTATGCAGATGTTTACAAGAGTTCATTTGTTTCTCCGTTCATTCATTTACATGTTATCTTGCATTATGTAGTATTGGGCTTCGTGTTTTCACTTGTGACTAGTTTTGATACATGATTTCATGTTTATTTTTCAAAGGTACGTGTTGTTACATCAAAATTTGTGTGTGAGTCAGAATGAAGATTCTATCTATAACGCTTAAGTGCGTTAAATACGATATGAGTGTCTTTTTCTTGTTAATAAAATTTTGAAATGAAATTTTATGATCTAGTTGACGTCATCATCCTGAGTGTATGATCGCTAACGCATTTATGTAATGTAGAATGAATATCGATAGGATCTTATCATTTGATAGTAAACAAACATTATCTGACATTTTCTGCGGAACTTCTTGTCATTTTGTTTTGTTTAATTTTCATTGGTTAGTAATTTTTGATAGCATTTTATGATTCTTCTTCATTTTTTTTTACAAAATGATTCAAATCGAATTAAATACAATTTTAAATTCATACACAAAAAGGTCGTCAGCCAGACATTAGAACCAAAAAAAAGGAGCCACAAATCATAAAAAAATTCTCCCCCGGGTCGAAAAAATTTGCTCTTTAAGTACATATGCGGCCCTTCAAAGGTCAAATAGTTCTCAATGAGGCCCTCACAGCAAAAAGTTTGCCCACCCCTGATCTAACATCTAAAATATTCATCAAAATCGTTAACACCGAAAATTATTTAATTAATTTTTTTATAGATTAATATTTGCAATTAGTTGTTATAATTAATATTCACAATTAATTGTTATAATTAATGTGTTTCAATTAATATTTAAATGTTAGGACGACATATTGCATATTTGCCGCCAGTCTTAATTGGTTTCAATACGCGCGCGCGTGTGCGTGTGCGTTCAGATAAGAGTCCCGTGTTAATTTTATCTGCAACTCAACTTCAATTAGCAAGTTAAGTTTGTTGATAAATATTGGAAAATTAAAACCTGTTTGTTAGTTTTTATTTCGTTTATTTTTTCTTTAATTTTATCAGTATTTTTATCAGTAGAAGTAGTTGTGGTAATAGTAGTAGTAGAAATAGTTGTAGTAGTAGTAGCTGTTGTAGTAGTAGTAGTAGTTGTAGTTGTTGTAGTGTATTAGTAGTAGTTGTAGTAGTAGTAGAATAAGAAGTTGTAGTAGTAGTAGTAGCAGTAGTAGTAGTAGCCGTGCCAATAAAAGTTATAATAAAAGCAGCAACATTGGTTATAGTTACTCGCTAGTAATACTATCAATCAATCAATTAATATCAATCAATCAATCAATTAATCAATCAACCAATCAATCTATCAATCACTCAATCAGTTAATGAAGCGCCATTTCCGCGATGTTCAACAGCGCTCCTCAGTGAATTTAACAAACTGATAGGTCTTGAAATCTTCGTAAGAGATGGGGAAGTAGTCAGAGAAGGAGGTTGAGAGTTCCAAAGAAAAGGGCCAGAAAAAGCAAATGCAGATTTAACTTAAGAGGGGTTACTACTGATAGTATTTTTTCTGCCGCTACTGCTACCACCACTACTACTACCACCACTACTACTGCTTTTACTTCTACTGCGTGAAGCGTCCGTTGTTTAGCACGTAATCTTTTACGCTGTTTGTGTATAGTTGCTTCTTCTGAATCTAGAATGGGTGTAATAGACCATTAGCCTTATAATCTCTTTCAACATCTAAATGAAGATGAAGAAGTGAGAACGAGTAGACAACCGTAAACCGGGGCGTTTAGATTTAGTTAGCTAATTTATTATTTAATTAACTATCAATAAATGTGTTAACAAAAGCATCGACAGTTACGAAAACAGCGGAGCGTAAAGAGAACTCCGTGTAAATATGGCTCTATATGAATGTTTAGAGTTTCATAAATAGTAGTTAGTTGGTATTGGATCAGTAGCAATATTTGCAGTATTAGTCGCGTCAGTAATAAAAGTAACTGCATTATCTGATCTTCCATGTAATTAGTAGCGACTTTATTATTATAATTAGTAGTAGCAGTAAATGTGGCGGTAACATTTTAGTTGTAATAGTAGCCACAGTGTCATCGGAATAGTTGTAACAGCAGCAGCAGCAGTTAAGTTTCAGCGTTCTAATTCATGTTATTAATAATTGTAATATAGGTTAACAAGGATTATAAGGTTAATGGTCTATTACATTTTTTCTAGATTCGAAAGAATCAACTATAGACAAACAGCTTAAATGAATAACTGCTGGACAACGAACGGTAGTAGTGAAAGCAGTAGTAGGCCGAAAAATACTATGAGTAGTAATAAATATTGCCATTTGCCAACCTGAACGGGCAGGCAGTTCGTGATGAGAAGATTGCATATCAACGACATGAATGTTAGGACTTGATCTGTTCCTGATGTAACGCTGTGCCGTACTGTTGACTGTAATTTCTGAAGATGCGTTTACCAGCGTTGTTGCTGTCGTTGTTGTTTGTGTTGCTGTCGTTGTTGTTGGTTCTGTAGTTTGTCGCGTTGAGGTTACTAGCGTTGTTGCAGATGCCGTTGATGTTAATGTTGTTGCTGGAAGTGGTCCCGTTTTTGTTGACGGAGATGTCTGGGCTCTTGTTAATATCGGTTTCGCCGAAATTTTTTGTTGCGATGTTGTTGTTGTGGCTGACGACGATGAAGTTGGTGTTTGTGGTTGCGCGATTAATGGCAAAGGTTTAGTTGGACGTTGTGGCTCTTTTGAAGATTGTGTTGTTGATGTAGACTCTGTTGTCCGTTGAATGCTTGGATGCGATTTTGTAGTAATAGATGTTAATGGAGTTGTTTTAGGTTGTGCATTTTGCTGAGTTGTTGGCTGAAGATTGGTTGCAAGCTGTGTCGTTGTTTGTTGTTGCGTTGTTGGTTGATGTTCTGGCGTGTGTTGCAAAGTATGTTGATTTGTCGTTGCTGCTGTTATCGTTGGTAGTATTATTGTTTGTCGTTTGACTGGTTGCTCGGTAGATTTTGAATCAGTTTCAACTGTTTTTGATGATTCGTAACGTTGCTTGACTGATGTTTGATAACTGCTGACTATTTCAGATGTTGACGTTTGTGTTGTTGATGGCTGATGTTGTATTAATTCTGAATAGTCAGGTGTGCATGTTGTTGTTGCTGGTGATTTTGCTGTCTTGTCTGTTGTCACTCCTACCATTAATGAAGGATTTGTTGCCTTGGCTACCGTTGTTCGATTGGCTGGTTGTAACGTTCTTTCACCCTCAGATGATGACATCAGAGACATCTAACATGCTTCTTCTCTTTAAGTTAAGTTAAATTAAATTAAATTTAGTTAATGATTTTATTTACCAATCATCTAATCTATAATATCAAAATACACAAGAGTATTTTCTATGATCTTATTGAATCTTTAAAAATGTAATGAGAGAATTATAAATTATTGAGAGTGTTCTAGAATGTAGCTTTTTAAAAATATATTGGAAATAAAAATTTGAAATATTTCTAAAAAAATTTAACAGCCACAAACAAACAAACGTTTTGATGTGTGTAGCCAAACTTATATACGATATTGATAATGTTGATCAAGTGAGTGAACTCGAGTACTTCATAGTTGTTGATTCAAAATTTTAAAGTGTTGTTGTCTTTATAGTGATCTAATAATGTTTATTTCTATTATTTATTATATGAGCCTATGAATATTAGAGATAAAACAAAATCTTGTCATTATTATATGAAATATCAAGTTTAAAGAGCAAAAAATACCTCTTTTATAACGATTTGAAAATCCTGTAAATGTATCTTTTACTCTCCAATTTCTTACATTTCAATTTCTCATTTAAACATTCATAAACTAAAAATTATTTAGATACTTTTTGCAATTCATTTTATAATAAATGCATGATTTCAATTGTTTTGCATACTTATTAAATATTCTTCATTTTTATAACCACATATGTAGAATAAAACCATAATCATTTTTTCAAACCTCAACCCGCACATCACTAAATTCCTGAATTTCGTTTCTCCATTTTTTCCTTTTCCTGTTACTCATTATCTTATCGGCATACCTTTGTTCCTCTTGTTTTCCGTGTTCCGATTCTTCTCCGCAGCTTTTTGAATTTTTTCCTTCATGTAAGTTTCCAGATAATTTTTACGATCTCAACCTCAATGTTATTATTTATATTTTATATGCTTTAAAATTAAATTTACTTTTATTTAAATTTTTTTAAAGTAAGTTCATTTTATATTCATTAAGTTTAAGATTAAAGTTATCTTTTCATCTTCCTTTAGAAAAACCCTTACTTTTCTTATTATTTGCATTTATCAGTTTATCTTATCTTATTTATCCTTATTTGGTCACTCATTCATTAGTGATTTGGTTAGGTTGGGCCATTCCTGTTGGAGATACTTTTGCATTTCTCTAGAACTAGAATTTAATTAATTTTTATTTTATTTGTAATTTGAATGTACTTGGATTCCAGTTTTAATATTTGTAATTATTACAGCTTGTCAGCACGATAAAAAAAATATGGGTGGGAAAGGATCCAAGCCTGATTTTAAGGAGTTGTCAAAAGGATCCAAGTTCACAACGAAGGAACTGAAGGACTGGTTCACTAAGTTCAAGAAGGATTTCCCATCTGGAAAAATCACCAGACAGGAGTTCACTGCTCTCTACAAGAAAATGCTCCAAACTGAGGCTGGCGCCAGTGTTTCAGGTTGAATTACCAAGAAATAAGTGATAACATTTTTTAAAAAACGTTGCCAAATTTATGTTTTATAAAAACTAAACTAATAGTTTAATTTAGTGACTATTATTATAACAGTATTATATACAACAGTATTATAGATAGTGGCATATAGTGTATTAATCAGTTTTGAGTTCAGTTTTATAATTATAAGTGAAAATGAATTTTTTTTCTGTGCAGTTGAAAAATTTTTTCCATTTTTTTTTTCATAAATCCTTTGTATGATTATCATGTAATGTTCTTATGTTTAAAATGTTTTTTTTAATTTATCAGGAGATGCAACAGATTTTTGTGATCATGTTTTCAGACAGTACGACACTGACAATAGTGGAACCATCGACTTCCGTGAGTTTGTGACCACCATCTCAGTGGCGGCCAGAGGAACTGCGAATGAAAAACTGCTGTGGGCATTCAACCTGTATGACATTGATGGCAACCACTATTTGTCTCCTAACGAAATCACTGAGATATTAACTGTAAGTGGTCATTCTTATTTTTAATTTCAATTGTAATGGAAAATTGACCACAATATATTAATTAATTTATTTGAGCCTTGTATGAAAATTAATATGCCATTTCATTGCATGGAAAGTAATTCATTGTTTTACTACAGGGTAAACTTTTTTTATTTTTCTAATGATTTAAATCAGTGGTGAGCAAACTGTGGCCCTCCAAGCCACTTTAAGCAGCCCATGGAACCTTGTACTTAATTTGACGAAAAAATGAAATTTGACCATTATGAGCAAATAATGGTCGCAGGCCACAAATGTTACTTCCTTGCTATCCTGGTCAACATTTCAGCATATTATAAAATTTAAAATTCTCCACCTCTGGTCAAGGTCTAAAAATGTGACCTTCCAAAGCTAAAAAGCAAAGTTTTCTCACCCCTGATTTAAATTAAAAAAGTTTCTTGTTCTCTTAGCATTTTTTGCTTACCTTATCACCTCGACTAGGCAATCTACAAAGCCAAGAGTGTATCCAACCCCGTTCCAAGCATCAAGGAGACAGTTGACATGATTTATGCACAAGCAGATGACAACAAAGATGGCCGCTTGTCTGAGGCTGAATTTGTTACACATGCCATGTCATGCGCCAGTCTGCGTGAAATTCTCAACACTCTTTAAACATCTGGTTAAGATATCCTGGGTGTTTATATGATTCTATATACAAACATTCTTATACTACATGAATATAAAGCTTTTGTTGTTTATCAGTATGTTTTCGACAGCTATTGGGTTTTTTTTCATTAGCTGTCAATCATTATTTTTCAGTATCAAATTGCAATTTTTGCAGCTTATTTGTTATATTTTTATTTATTGTTCTCTTTTTTGTTTTAATTAGTTTTTCAGTAGTTTATTTGATTTATTTAAAGTTAAAAACTTTTGTTTACTAATGTTGGTGTAGATTTTTTTTAGTTTAAAATTGTTTGCTAGTTTATGGTGTTTTTTGTTTGAAATTGTAGTCATCCAGTCTCAAATGTTTTATAAATTGTATTGTGACTTTTTGAGAAAATGTGCTTCAGCATTGATCAAGACTTTCTTACTGTTCTCATATATACTTTTACATCATATATCATTAATTTTTTAAAATACATCATAAAGTATTAATGCCAATTTATCATTGACGTTTTATTAATTTCATTGAGGTGTTATTAGTCTTACGTTTATTGAGTTGAAAATTTTCTAAATGGTTGTATGTATCATAAAATTGTTAGCAGGTTTTTTGATTTGTTCATTGGCTTCATGTAACTTGAAAACGTTCAATGTTTTCATATTTTAATAGCGATGTATGTAGATGATTTGTTTTAAAGTCAACAGCATGTCTAGACAGCATATTTATGATATATTTTCTCTTAGCTCTGAGCTTGAAAATCCATTATCTTATATTTGGCGTACAATTTTTGTACTCGATGCTTAGCTTCCCATTATCATTATATAAATTTTCACAGTATTAAAAACTTTCTTCATAAAATAAATTTAAGAAACATCTGTTGTGTTTCTGTGTGTCACTAAAAATTTCAAATCTGAAATGGAAAGCAGAATTTAAAAGGTTTAGATAGATTTTAAAGGTAGGTTTACATAATAGTTCATTTTGTGATGTTGGACCAAGCGTAGCTTAACACATCGTACATAAAAGTAGTTTTATGTTCTATGAAACGTAAAAAATTGTCAATGAATACAATTTAAAAACCGTTCTCATACAATGGTTTCGTAAAATGCAGTCGGTAACATTAACAATTATACATTAGAGTATTATTTCATTTGATTTATAGCAACGGGATTGTTAGAGCTATAATTGCGTTCAAACGTGCACAGTGAAATATTACGACGTGTCAATTTTTAGGCTATATTATAACTTCCTATTATATTATTTCATGTGTTTGACTTTTGAAGTCTTTCTATAGAATAAATATGTTTTGATCGGATTCAGGCGATCAATGATCAATCAATCTTCGTTTTGCGTCCAGAGTCCAGGTTCCCCGAGGTAGGACGTTGTTTTCTTTGCCATCAACTTTTTGCGCCAAATTAGGCGATTAGTTGTATCCATTTCATTAAAATTTAGAGCTTTCATGTCTTGCTCGATTGTTTGCGACCAGGACTTCTTTGGACGGCCTTTGGGACGTGTGCCAGGTACTTCAACATCTGTAAGAGAAGTTATGGCACTGTTTCTACTTCGTTTGACATGACCAAACCACCGCAGACGGTGTTGCCGGCATTCGTCTTTTATATCATCTAAACCAGCACGACGCAGGATTTCGGTGGATTTGATTAGGTCCTTCAAACTAATTTGTTGCATCCATCGGAGCATTTTCATGTCGGTTCGTTGAAGTTATTGTTCCAGTTTGGTTGTTATTGGCCATGTTTCTGCACCATATTACAATACCGGACGTATCAGAGATTTATAAAGTCTTGATCGTAGTGGTAGTGGGATGTCACGCCGCATCAATATAGAGGCAAGGAGATGCCATTTATTCCAGGCTGCACGTATGCTTCAGCTGTTCCAGTACAATCCAGAACATCCCCTAGATATTGAAACGATGTGACTTTCTCTACCTTAATGGATTCAAAAACATTGCTATTTCGAATTTGTTGTTGTGGATTGATGCAAGCAGGACAAACAAAATTGGACATTTTAGATAAAGTACCAATCATTTTTGAACAACGTTTGTGACACCACTGGTTACACTGCTGACACTTGATTGAATTGATACCTACACCAGCTTTACAAACTGAACAGGGCCATCGTCCAGTAGTTGTGGATTGGATGGGTTCACCAGTGTTCATTGCTTTGGTTTTGCTGATGTTGACTTTGAATCCATGATCGGCGAGTCTGGTGTTCCAATCTTCAAACATCTGTGCTGCATTGCATTCTGCTCAGACGTGGCTGTTAAAACGATATCATCAGCACATATTAGATTCCAAACGTCACCAGTGCGTATCGGTTTTGTGATTTCTTCCATCACAGTTATAAATAACAGTGGACTGAGAATCGAGCCTTGGTGAACTCCAACGCCGATGTCAAATGCATAAGTGTTTCCAACTGTTGTGCTGACAAGAGTCTATGAATGTGCGATCAATGAAATGACACATTAAACTTTTAAATGACCGTTGATGCCTTTTTTGTCACTTTCCAAAACCAATCATATATCTTGATTCAAATTATGGTCAAATGAAATAATAATACTAAAAGTATTCTAAGCATGTGGGATATTCTAAATACACTATTATAAGTATACCAGATACTCAGTTAACAGCCAAATGAATGATACTCAGATAGTAATTATGTTTGGTTGTCCACATTTTCTTGTTTTGTTGCAAGGGGAGGCCTATTTATCAGCATACAAAACCTTCTTATGGGTTGAAGCAGGGATATGCAAAGAACCTCAATTTTTTCAACTTTTAATTATTTTCAGTAATGTCTCCCCTTGCTCCAAACCACATAACTAGAATAATAGGACTAATCGATCAATTCGATCTATCGGTCGGGCTATTTGTCGTGCTTGGATTGTTGGCTTACGAAATTGCATGGATTTTAACGAGCAAGCTAAATGAAATATTTACTTGATTTAATATGCTTAAAACATTGTAGTAATTCTATTTAATTTTAATAATGATAAATAGAATTATGTATTATTAAATTATTTTTGTTAATTTGAATATAAAAATTGCTTTTGGTCCGGTGAAATCCGGTGGCTTACTGAAGCCGAAGGTTGGCTTAGTAGGATTGAACTATAGTCACCTTTTTTTTACACTATTCGATCATGTTAAAAATTGGTTTGATTATGAAATAAACAGCCTAAATAAATCAAAATTGTTATTTGAATAACTATCTTCATTATATTCAATGAATATTTTACACTCTGCTGGTGCTCATAAGAAACTGGCTGCTGAAATCATACGTTGGCTTACAGCGGTGGCTTACAGGGTTTCATAGAACTCTTATGATAGCACTTTTTTGTACATATAATGCATTGAATAAATAAATATATTCATATCACAATTATTTTTGTCAGTATAAATATAGAAAAACAGTGGATTACTGAAGCCTTAGGTTGGCTTAATCGGATTTTTTCTCATGTATACAATACTATGAGATAAATCAATCAAACAATCAGTCAGCCAGCCAGCAAGCCAGTCTGTCAGTCAATCAATCAACCAACCGATCAATCAACCGATCAATCAATCAACTAAATTGAATGAACCAAATAAACAAAAATAAAAACAAAATAAATAAAAAAAATTTGCAAGGCTTGTTCAAACTCGAACAAACAGTTAACCGTACAGATCTACAAATAATTTCGAGATTTTAGTAAAGAAAGAAAAACACAGTAGTTACTTTTATTTGAATTCATTCAAAAATGAAAAGTGACGGTTAATTAAAATTTTAAAATGTCAAATTTTTTTTAAAATTCGTATTTTAAATAAACAAATATAACAAAATATCAACCGATAAAAATAATTATTATCCATTATTATTATTATCATACACACTCCTTAGAAGTTCTCGAAGGAACCACGTAACATGAACACTTAGTAAGAACAGTTCACAACATATCATAATGACTAAATCAACATACTAAACAGAAATAATTTATACATGTATATATACAAAGTAAATCAAGAAATATCCAAAAATTATATAACCAATTTAAAAAAAACTAGAAACCAGTCAACATTTAATGAATAAATAAATAGACATTATTAAAAAGATTGTTCAAAAAGGTACAATTTAAGGCGACGACGAGAATGAAATGTAGTTTGTTTTGTTGGTGTGGTGTTGTGAAGCGAAAACAAACACATCACACAAAACTAGTAAGAAGTCGCAAGAATAATAGTCAGTCATCTACCTATAATAAAATTACTCTCAGGGCCCTAGCTTACTTATAAACATTGACTCAACTCACTTACCTACAAATTTGTATTTCTCGTTTTAGATGTTTCAAGTATTTTATTTAACATATTTTAGCGTTTTTATTTTACTTGAAGCTTTTTAACTAATGTTAAGCCCTAGCCTACCTACAACTGTTTAACTCATCTCAGTCCCTAACTTACCTATGAATTAATTTAAAGCCCGGTTCACGGTAAAGAAAATATAAAGTTGAAGAGAAACATAGCAACAACGACACCGAATGAATGGATGTTGTGTATGTATGTGTTGTATTGATGTGTGTGTATGTAAATGTGCGGGCGCGCACTCTCCAGAAACTTCACTCACTACCGGCGAACCTCCATTGCACCAACCATCATCTGACACGCATCGATGGAATGAATTTGACCGGATACAGAAAAATAAATTTAAAAATAAATTAATTCACTAAAATAAAAAACAAGCAATTGGAAAAAATAGGCAACTTATCTTTTTGAGATAACACTCAATCTTTGTTCAAATTCGAGTACTTTCAAAGGTACAATGAGACAAAAACAAATTTACCTTTAACATTATCTTCGATTTGTCATCGGAACGATCATCATGAGACCACCATCTGAAACGTGCTGACGCCCACCACAGCCCACCTCTCATCATTCTGTAGACAAGTTTTTATTAATTAGCGAAGTAGTAAGTCAAGAAACAAGGGAACGAACGAATAAATGATTAACTGAATGATTGAACGATTGGTTGAATGAATAAATTAACTAATTAATTAGTCAACCAATGATTTAATGAATGAATAGAATGAATCAATGAATAAATTAACTGAAGAATAATTTGAAAGATAGTGATAAAATGAATAAATGAATGAGAAAAATAAAAAAAAGAAACTAAATCATACTTCAAAAACCGTCATTGTTGTTATCTTCGAATTGTAATCGGAACGATCATCATGAGACCTCCATCTGAAACGTGCTGATGCCCACCACAGCCCACCTCTCATCATTCTGTAGACATTTTTTTAATAGCTTATTGGTAAATCAAGGAACAAAGGAACGATCGAATAAATGATTAATTGAATGATTGAATAATTGGTTGAATGAATGAGTGAATGAATGAATTAATTAATAAATCAATGATTCAATTAATGAAAAGAATGAATTAACGAATCAATTAATAGAAGAATAATTTAAAAGGTTGAGTGATAAAATGAATGAATGAGAAAAATAAAAAACGAAACTAAACCTTGCTTCAAAAATCGTCGTTACTATACTTTCCATTGCACCGACCACCACCATCTGGTCGGCACACAAAATACCATCCGAACTTCAGAGTGTCAGTCGAACAGCCAACGAGCTGATTCTTCCTACACCACCATCATCATATGTAAATCATCATGAGACCACCATCTAAAACGTGTTGACTCCCACCACTGCCCACCTCTCATCATTCTGTAAACAAAATTTTTTTATTTGCGTAGTAGTAAATGAATGTTAGAATCTTAGAAACAAAAAAAAATAAATTATAAAATGAAAATAATGTCAAATAAATAAAATTTTAAATTAATAAAGTAAGTAAAATGTAAAAAAAACTTAGTCGTCCATTCAAAAAAGGCAGA